TTTTTTTTAAAAAAAATTAAAACAAAAGGACAAAAGTTGTTGACTATTGGACTTTTAATTGTAAAAGTAAAAAGTTAGTTCTACTTTTTATAGTTTCTAAGTAACTAAAAGGACAAAAGTAACACCTACATAGAGGAAAAAAATTGTGTGTGAACGTTTTATATATAAAAAAAACGAATTAAAACTAAAAATGTGGCAATGGGGATTCGATCCCGGGTTGGATGGGAACATTGAACCTCCCTCAACCACTCAGCTAAGCTTCAAACTTGTGTTAGTGGGTTCAAAATTTAATATATACATATAAAATTTTAAAAACTGATTAAATATACATATATATACAGTGTTATTTTTCAATGAAGTGGGTTCATATGAACCAACTTGAACCACTGTAGGTCCGCCCCTGGTCATATAGGCCCATGTTGGACATCCAATTGCTTCGATTTGAATTATCTAGAACGCAAGTTGAATCACAACGAATATTATGATCAAACATGATTTTCAGAATTATTATTCGAGAAAAAGTAAAATATATTCATAGTTAAACGACCAATAGTATGATTTGTTTTCAATAATCAAATTATCACTTATTAATTGTTTTATTTTTTGTATTGCGGTAAAAAAATAAAAAAATTGAAGTTGAAAAATGTTTTTTTAAAATAAGCTTTAAATTTATTTGTTCAACAAAAAAATTTGATTTTTTCAACAAAAAAATTGTAATATGAAGTTGGAGGAAAGTTTTAGAAAATGTTTTCCTTAAGTTTTGAAGGGAAGTCATTTTTCTTGAATTTGAGGAAAATGAGTTGATTTGGAAAATATTTTCCTAAACATTTTACCCAACCAAACATGAAAAAAATTGGAAAACATTTTCCGGAAAATGTTTTCCTTCATACCAAACACACCCTTAGTCCTTTTGTTATTCATAAATTTAATGTTAATTTTTATGATATCTAACTAAACACATTAAATCTTTAGTTAATTAAAATATGCATATTTTAATTCTTTTGCTCGTAAATATTTACCAATTTTCTATGATTATTAACTGTTCCATTATCTAATTATTTTTGATTTGTTGTGTTGTGTTAAGTTTATAGTATTTCCTCATATTTGATGGTAAATATAACTCTAAAAATAATCTGAATATAATATATTTTATGCAAAGAAACAAAAGTAGAATAAAATTAAATATGTTAGGTAGGGCTGTTCAAAATGGAATCGAAATCGATAACTCAAATCGAAAAAAAGTTATTAATTTATTGATAATAGGTTATTTGTTTAACGATTTTGGTATTGGTTTTTGATTTTTTTATCATCGGGTTATTGATTCTTAACGAAATTGAAGTTTTTTCTTAATGGGTTAATTGATAACTAGATAATAAATTAATAAATTATATTAATACCATTTTGGTATATAAAGTCCTTTGACTTAGGATTTAGTTTCATATTTTCAATTCTTTTTTTGGTAACCAATGTAAACTATTACCATACCATCCAAAAACAATTACAAATAAAGAGTACCCTCTCCTGATAACAGGTTGAGGTCTCCAACCAAACAAGGAAACTAATTACAAAATAAATGCTGAATGAAACCTCTACATCTTTGAGCTTTCTTTGAATTACTCAAGAATTGTATTCTTTCTGTTATCTCCTTCTTAATCTGTATGACTACATCTTTTGTATTTACATTCTTTCCTTTGTACTTCTTCCAATTTCTAACACGCCAAGTGTGATATAGGACTGCTCCACTAATTGCCGCAATAATCTCCTTTTTAAACTGCTTCCAATGTTTCTCCTTTATTCCATCCAGAAACTGTGTGATCCCATTGTTTATCAAATATATACCTGTCCACCAAACTATCTCTTGCCATACCATCTTAGACCATTTACATTCTTCAAACAAATGCCTTGTGGTCTCCATAACTTTCTCTTCACATAGACAACATTCAGTGTCATCAACCTGAATGTGCAGTCTCAACTTTCTCTCTTGTGTAAGCAATCGACCTTGTATAGCTAGCCACACCATGAATCTGTGTTTTGGTAGAGCCACAGCAGTCCACACTAAATCAGCAGTTTCCAATTGTTGTCTTTGCCCTTTAATTGCCAAATAACTCCGTGTGATGGAATATGTACCATTTTTTGTCAACATGTATTTTCAATTCTGACAGTCTCAAACTTTCAGTTATTCTACAATGTGTTAGTGTTGTTTTTTAGCAAGATACAATTTATCAACTCATGTGCATCGTTTATTTGATTTGTCACCATGTTCTAAGAGATTTTCAATAATTTATTTTCGTGTCAAATCATAACGATTAAACCAATAACAAAACCGGTAACGATCAATAACCGATAAACCGATAAGCCAATATATTAATGGTTCTTAACGGTTTAGCACATCTACAAATTGATAACCGATTAGTTGAACCGATAAACTTCAAAACCGAACCGAATCAACCAATGCAACACATATATCACAAAAATCAAAATCAAAATCAAAATTTATTGATATATAAATGATGAACCAAAAGTATTTACAAACCGTTCTGAAAATAATGTGAAACTCCAAAAATACTAACTAAAATAACTGCTTTAAACTCCAAAAATTGAATGTCTCAACTCTCAAGTGGATCAAGTTATCTTTTTTACTCAAAAATAGAATTGCACTATTTAATGTGTAAAATTGCTGACATTTCACTTAGTGATAAAAAATTAAAAACGTTAGATGATGAAAAATTGAAAAACTTTATCAAGCCAAAAACATAATCGATTTGTACTATTCACAATGTAAAAAATAGGTTTTGACATTTTTTTAAGAAAAAAATTGAGATTTTTAAGGGTGAATTTGATGAAAAGAATATTACATTAACCTTGAATATTTCTTAAAACATTATGTAAGTCTTTATGAATGATAGTGATACGTACAAGATGGCTCAAACACTATCATTATAAATTAGATTTGAATTAAAAAAAATACAAATATTATTATATAAATTAAAGCTTAATTTATTTTAGTTTATAAAATACTTTTTATTTTTTATTTTTTGAAAAAGACTTAACACATTTTTCTATTTGGAGATTCTTTATTTTTAACGTTCATTTATCCTTAATGACATCAATGTAAGATTTGTGGAAAACATTTTAGTCTCATAAAAAATTGATTCTATATCCAATATAGACTTTTTATTTAATTGTAGCACAAACATGATTTAAATTCCTAAAAGAATGAAATAAAGAAATAGTGACAAATTTTTTTGTTACAGATTCTCAGTTACATCACATTTTAAAAAAAATGTCATAATTGGGGATATTTCTAGTTTTAAAGTGGTTTTATTTCAGGTTAATGTCTTCAATTATCTATCATTACTGTTGAATGATATGTGTCAAATCTCTTTTTAGCAATCCAATTGAAGTATTTCTCTTCTCATTTGTATCCCAATTTTGTTCCAATGATAGTTTTTGTTTATTGTCAGTCAATTTAAGAACAAATACTCGATCATTATATTATTTCCCGCATATTTTTATCTTCCTTTCTCTCTCCAACTCTTTTCTTTTCATTTTCTCGATCGCCATTTTTCATATCATCAAATAACTTTTTTTTCTGTGAACTTATTGTTTTTATCCATGTTCTTTTCTATTATGGAAAGATTATCAATCTAAGTACATGGTATTAGTCGAAAAATTCACTTCTCTTTAGTCATTATTACCTTTTAAAAAAAAACTATTTCATTAGATAAGGTATGCATAAGGCTAATTTTTATTAGTAAAGAAAAAAAAAATTAAAGGACCTCAAAGGAAAAATACAAGTAAGGGAGAAAAGTACAAATAAGGGGTATCAGAACAGTTTCGGATAAATTATAATTTCTTGTTATGTCCCTTTGGATAAACTATTTTTGATTCGCTTAATACCAATAAAAATGAAGATATAGATATTTATAATTATAATTATTTTGGAGATAACTTGAATCTCTTATATTCAAACCGCTTCATAATTATATTGATTTGTTGTTCTTCATGTCTACTATGAAACTCTGCATCACTAATTCTCCATCTTCGTCGTTTAAAGCATGAAGCAACTTCCAAATTTTTGAATTGGATCTTGAATTTTTTGTTTTAGAAACTATTACTCTTTTATTAGGAGTATAATTAATGATGTAGTTTTGATACTTATAAATGATAAATAAAAAAGAACGGAGAAATTTTGATATATTTTTTGTTCATAATTAGAATATGCGATAAACAAAACTATATACATTTGAGAAATTCTCTATTCTTCAAAAAAAAAATTGTCAATTCTCAATCTGTCCAAATCGAGAAAATAAAAGCACATTATGAAAAAAAAAGTGTGCATAAAAATTTGCATTTAGTCTATTCTACTGAATTAGTTACATTTCAATTTGTATAAATTCAACATTAACTTAATAAAATAGGATGGCATAGAAACTCAACTTTGAACCGGAAAAACAAGTGCACAAAAGTAATTTATGTTTAAGCCATCAATCTATGAACTTTACAAATAATATGTGTTTAATTCAATAAATTAAATTAAATATTGCATATCGCCCTTTATTTTTCTTTTGGGACATGATTTTCAATTCAAAGTTGCTACATTCTGCACTCAAGGAAAATCCAATATTATTATATTTTGGGTGCCATCGAAATAGACCACAAATCAACATTCCAAATGCATGGTGCAATTGTGACAAAAAAGACTAAAAGACAAAATAATGCAATGTCTCATACTAGTTTAGTAATATTTTATATTGCAAGTCGTTTTCTGAATTGACACTAGAAACCCTTAGACTTACAGACAGACGCCAAAAAAGGAAAACAAAATTAAAAATGGAATGGATTAAACTTTTATACACTAACCAGTACAATAGTCAAGTGCGGCAACCAGACGGCAATAAGTATTTAAACGTGAAGGATTGATGGCTGAGACAAAAGACTCTCACCATACATTATAAATACTCATTTCCTTCACTTCCATTTCCATCATCACTTGTTCAATTTCTCTAAGCACAAAATTAACACTTCTTTTTCACAAGCTAACTGTAGAAGAAATGGCCCTAGCTGCTGCAGTGATGAGTAACTACGGAGAGGAGGAGATTGTTCGCCCTGTTGCTGACTTCTCTCCAAGTCTTTGGGGTGATCGTTTCCATTATTTCTCCCTCGATAATCAGGTATATTTAATTGATTTGTCTGTTTAAAGCACATTGTTTAATAAAATGTATTACTTATTATATAAATTTTCATTTGGATAAATTAATTTATAGGTTGAAAAAGAGTATGCTCAAGAGATTGAAACATTGAAAGAGCAAACAAGGAGTATGTTGTTAGCTGCGAGTGGAATGACATTGGCTGAGAAGTTGAATCTGATAGACATTGTTGAGCGCCTTGGCTTAGCTTACCATTTTGAGAAACAAATAGAAGACATGTTGGATCAAATTTACAAAGCACATCCTAACTTTGAGAGTCATGAATACAGTGACTTAACTACTTTATCCGTTCAGTTTCGACTACTGAGACAACATGGTTACAATATCTCTCCAAGTACGTAATATAATATAATATAATATAATAATCAACACCGTTACACTAGCACGTAACTAATAGTAAGTAATATTTTGTTTTCAACTTGAACCAGAAATTTTTAGCAGATACCAAGATGCAAAGGGAAAATTTAACGAACCCCTTAGCAACGACATCAAAGGTCTATTGAACTTATATGAAGCTTCACATGTAAGGACTCATGGAGAAGACATCTTAGAAGAGGCACTTGCTTTCTCCACTGCTCATCTTGAATCTGCAGCTCCACATTTGAAGTCACCTCTGAGTAAGCAAGTCACACATGCCCTTGAGCAATCTCTCCATAAGAGCATTCCAAGAGTTGAGACACGATACTTCATCTCTATCTACGAAGAGGAGGAACATAAGAATGATGTGTTGCTTCGATTTGCAAAACTGGACTTCAACTTACTTCAGATGTTGCACAAACAAGAACTCAGTGAAGTATCAAGGTATGCTAGCTAGTAATTTACATGAAAAATATAAATTAATTGTTACTCGATAGTAATTTCTCAAATCAATTCTAAATTTTTAAGATTGATTCTTATTTTATAGGTGGTGGAAAGATTTGGATTTTGTGACAACACTTCCATATGCTAGGGATAGAGCAGTTGAGTGCTACTTTTGGACGATGGGAGTGTATGCTGAACCTCAGTATTCTCATGCTCGTGTCATGCTTGCTAAGACTATAGCAATGATTTCTATAGTAGATGACACATTCGATGCTTATGGAATCGTAAAAGAACTCGAGGTTTACACCGATGCCATACAGAGGTATGAACAATTGCCTCTCCAACAGCAAATGGTTAATTTCTTAGAAGGGAAACTTACTTAATCTTTATCTTTTATTAGGTGGGATATCAGCCAAATTGATCGGCTCCCAGATTACATGAAAATCAGTTATAAAGCACTTCTAGATCTCTACAACGATTATGAAACAGAGTTGTCAATGGATGGTAGATCCGATGTTGTTCACTACGCCAAAGAAAGAGTATGAATCATGACTTATACTAGTTATCTCAATATTAATCAGTTTGTTAACGAATATCTGTAGCTTTTTCTCCTCATCTTTGCGTATAAGGAAATTCATTTTTTGAATAAATACTGATGTTTGAGTGTCTTTGCTTGTTGTTGACAGATGAAAGAAATCGTGAGAAACTATTTTGTGGAAGCAAAATGGTTCATTGAAGGATACATGCCACCTGTTTCTGAGTATCTTAGCAATGCATTAGCTACTAGCACTTATTACTTGCTTACGACAACATCCTACTTGGGCGTGAAATCTGCTAACAAGGAAGATTTTGAATGGTTGGCTAAGAACCCTAAAATCCTTGAAGCCAATGTGACTTTATGTCGAGTCATTGATGATATAGCAACCTATGAAGTTGAGAAGGGTAGAGGTCAGATTGCAACTGGAATTGAGTGTTATATGAGGGATTATGGCGTATCAACAGAAGTAGCAATGGAAAAATTCCAAGAGATGGCTGAGATAGCATGGAAGGATGTAAATGAAGGAATTCTTCGACCAACACCTATCTCTACAGAAATCCTTACTCGTATTCTCAATCTGGCTCGTATTATAGATGTCACTTACAAGCACAATCAAGATGGATACACTCATCCAGAGAAGGTTCTAAAACCTCACATTATCGCTTTGTTGGTAGATTCTATTGAAATTTAAATTATCAATTCACCAAGGAATACTTGGTACTTCTCAGTCCCTTAAATAAGTAATTGGTGATATCGTGCAATGAAGTTACTTTCTTAACTTTCTTCTTTGTATTATCATTGATAATATTTAAATTTAATTACTTCAGTTTCTACCTAGCTGCTTTAGCTTAATTTGTTTAAGTTATGTAAAACAATTCTGAAAGTCATGACGTGAAAGAATATGCTTCAACAGTTTCTGATTAGCCACAAGAAAATAAATAAAAAATTGAATATTCCGTACCTGTCAAAAACGTATTGACCTCCATTGCAAGGGCAACTGCGAATTTTTGGACATTATAGTCAACAGGAGCCATTTGTTTATTTCTTTTTTAATTATTAAAATTTGGTAAGATTTGAAAGTATATATATAAAAAAAGAAATTATCATGTATTAGCTAGGGATAATTTTTCTCACATGAAAATATTTCAATGGAACGGTTTATTCATAACCTTAAAAAGATTGAATCATTTGAATTTATATTTAGCGTGTCAAGAAAAGTACCGCAGAACTAACATTAAAATCAAGAATCAGAAAAAATCATATATATTCTTTTATATATAATTTTAAAAATGAAAATTCCTAAGGATGAGTATGTCTGTATTACAACTCGAGGTCATTCAACTTTAAATTTATTATTCTAATCTTTTTATTTGGTAAAAGTCATCCAATTTTAAAGTTTAGCACACAATTTTTTATGTGATAAATTTTATCATTTTATGTAACAAGTAACAAAAAATAAAAAAATAAAAATGTAGGGCTAATTTCTTGCTAGATTAATGAGAACTCCTGCAAGTGTCTACAACTTCCATGTTTTTTTCTCACATTTGTCTCTACACTCCCCTCCTCATTTCGTTTTTCAGTTGTTTACAATACTATGAATCCTAAAGGGACTACTTTTGTTAGACAAATTAAATCCCTAGTAGTATGTAATATTATTTGTGGTAATAGTTATATATATATATACATATAAACCTCACGAAGGAAAAAGAAAAAGAAAAAAGAGAGACGAGATTAAGAACTTGTTTGGATGAGCGAGCTTATAAAAATAAATTATAAGTCAAAATTAAAAATCATAAGTAGATGATACTCTATTTTTGACTTTTGACCTAAAAATGAGTACTTAAAAACACTTTTTAATCTTTCCAAATGAGCACTAAGCTATGAACAAACTTAAAAGAAAAAAAATACTTTTATGTAGAAATTGACAAGTGAAAATGAATTTAGGTTACCTCAGAAAGTAAAAACACTTTGAGGCAATTTTGAATTCAAAGTTGCTACATTCTGCAGCCAAAGAAATAAAAAATTCTTAAAGTGCCATCAAAGTAGACCCTGAATCAACAAGCACATATGAATATGCAATAATGACAAGAAAAACTAACATAAACAATCACTACATTATTAAAAATGATCTTTAACAGCAATTAATTAACAATTGTCGCTAAATATTTATTTTTAGCGACAATTAGCATTCTTTGTATATGTCCATAAAGGTTTTAGCGACATTGAATTTAATGGCACTTAACTAATGCCAATAAAGACTTTCAGGGGCGTATACAAGAGGGGGTCACCGGGTTCACGTGAACCCATGGTCCCCTCCCGAAATCATATATAGTAGTGTTATATTTTTTTAAAATATTTAAATATAGATGTATGAACCCAGACTCGAAGTATCATATAATGTAGTACGATGATGATTGGGTGCACCTCTCTAGGTGAGGTTAGAAATTTGAATCTTTTATCTATCTTGTTTTAGTTTTCTTTCTAAGATTTTGTAACTGGTTTGAATAAATAAAAGATAATTTTGGACCTATGATTTTAAAATTTTAATGATTTTCAGTAAAAAGAATCTAACCGATCAAATTTATGTCTTAGATCCACCTTTTTGTAATAGTGCACCCATTATCTATAAATCCTGAATATGCCTCTGAAGACTTTAATACTCTTTATTAATTATCTATTTATTACCGCTAAAAATTATTTTTGTTATAGTGAATAACGAACACATACAACGTCACTATATTTTTTTATGTATAATATATAGTCTTTTTCTTGAGTTGAAATTAGAAACTCTAGTGAAGCATCGGGCCAACAAAATCTCCAGTCGCCAAACAAGGAAAAAGAATATGATAAGGCACAAGGAATTAAAAAAGAATTGATTTAATTTCTACACAGTTATCATATAATATTTTTTTTTGTATATATTAGGTCTCTAGAAGATAAGTATGGGCAACATGCTACAACTGGTTAAAAAAATTTAAACATGGTCAGATGGTCACTTAATTATGAGCTGTTTTTACATAAAGTTAATTATGAACTGTTTTTACATAAAGTCATTCAGTTTTGATTTTTAACTCACAAGTCACTTAACTATGAATTTTTTCATAGAAAGTTATTCAACAACTTTGATTTTTAAATCAAAAGTCACTCTATTATGGATTCTTTTCACAAAAAATAACTAAACTGTGTGTTTTACTTGCAAAATCAGTCAACTTATTTAATTAATTTTTTCAATAAAATTTATTAACTTGAAATTTTTATTGAAAACTAAAATTTTTAAAAATCTAGATATTATCTCATATAAACAGTTAAAAATAGTATATAAAATTAAAATTCAAAAAGGAAAAAAAACATGCTGAGTGTGTGTATATATAGGCTGCGTATTATTGCTCAGTTCGGTTCGATTTTGAAATTTATCGGTTTGACTTATTGGTTATCGGTTTGACTTATTGGTTATCGATTTGTAGAGATGCTAAACCGCTATAGAACCATTAACATATTGACTTATCGGTTATTGGTTTATCAGTCAAACCAAATGAACGTAACCATGCACATGAATTCACAAATTGCATCTTGCTCAATAACAAACACTTTTATATTGTAGAATAACCAAGAGTTCGAGATAGCCAAAAATAAAAGTAGGAAACTAAACTCTAAGTCAAGGACTTAAATTTATATACAATGGTATAAATAAATTATTTAATTTATTATTGAATTATCGGTTAACCCGTTAAAAAAAAGTTTCAAACTATTAAGAACTGATAACTGGATAACAAAAAAAATTCAAAACCACTATCATAAAAATAGCTAAATTATTAACTCATTACTGATAAATGAAAAAAAAAAATTAATACGAATTATCGATTTTGATTAGATTTTCCTAATGTATAGTCAACAAAGTGCGGCAGTTGGATGACTAGCAACAGTAACAAGGTATTTTTTAAACGTGAAAGATGGCTGAGACAGGGGTTCTCACCATACATTATAAATACTCTGATTTTCCACAAGCAAAGTGTATATACTAGAAATGGCCTCAGCTGCAGTAATGAGTAACTATCAAGAGGAGGAAATTATTCGCCCCGTTGCTGACTTCTCTCCAAGTCTTTGGGGTGATCGGTTCCATTCATTCTCCCTTAGCTTGACAATCAGGTATTTAAGGAACTTCCTTTGTAATGCTGTTATATATATAATCAGTTGTTGGAACAGACTTGTTTTAAAAATGATTTTTTTTTTGTTTTTATATATATGTACAGGTTGCGGAGAAGTACGCTCAAGAGATTGAAACTTTGAAGGAACAAACAAGGAGTTTGTTGTCTGCTTCTTGTGGAATAACATTGACTGAGAAATTGAATCTGATAGACATTGTTGAGCGTCTTGGCATAGCTTATCATTTTGAGAAACAAATAGACGATATGTTGGACCATATTTTTAACATTGATCCTAACTTTGAGGCTCATGAATACAATGATTTATGCACTCTATCCCTTCGATTTCGAATCCTAAGACAACATGGTTACAACATCTCTCCAAGTACGTAATTAATGTATATCAACCAACCACTACGTACATACATTCTTCTTTGTTTTTGGAGTAATTGAAATTCTAGCTACCTAATTCTTTGTTTTCAACTGTTCAATTCATGAACCAGAAATTTTTAGCAGATTCCAAGATGCAAAGGGAAAATTCAAGGAATCTCTTAGCAACGACATCAGGGGTCTATTGAACTTATACGAAGCTTCACATGTAAGGACTCATGGAGAAGATATTTTGGAAGAGGCACTTGCTTTCTCCACTTCTTATCTAGAGTGTGCTGCTCCACATTTGAAGTCACCACTGAGTAAACAAGTGACTCATGCCATTGAGCAATCTCTTCATAAGAGCATTCCAAGAGTTGAAACACGCTACTTCATCTCCATCTACGAAGAGGAGGAATGTAAGAATGATGTGTTGCTTCGATTTGCAAAACTGGATTTCAACTTACTTCAGATGTTGCACAAACAAGAACTAAGCCAAGTATCAAGGTACGCTAGTAATTTAAATGAAAAAAAGTACTATTATTTGTTGATAGTGACTCTCAGAAACTGATATACTTTATAGGTGGTGGAAAGATTTGGATTTTGTGACAACACTTCCCTATGCTAGGGATAGAGCAGTTGAGTGCTACTTTTGGACTATGGGAGTGTATGCTGAACCTCAATACTCTCAGGCTCGTGTCATGCTTGCTAAGACTATAGCAATGATCTCAATCGTAGATGACACATTCGATGCCTATGGCATTGTTAAAGAACTTGAGGTCTACACTGATGCAATACAGAGGTACGAATTACTTCTTGAACATTTATGATTTAATTAGATGATACTATAAATTAAAGGGAAAAAAGCAAACTATATCGAACAACACATCTTTGTTCAATTTTGAATTTTTGCCTACAAACACTAGATCACATTTCTATATGTTCTGATGAACTTATCAAATTCATTTCTTTTTCATTTATTAGGTGGGATATTAACCAAATTGATCGGCTCCCTGATTACATGAAAATCAGTTACAAAGCACTTCTAGATCTCTACAACGATTATGAAACAGAGTTGTCAAATGATGGTAGATCAGATGTTGTTCACTATGCAAAAGAAAGAGTATGAATCATGACTTATTCCAGTTAACCAGTTTATCAACCAATTGTGAAGCTTTTTCTCCCAATTTTTGTTTGTAATGAAATTTATTCTTTGAAGAAGTACGGACGTTTGAATATATATCTTTTGGTTGTTATTGATAGATGAAAGAAATTGTGAGAAACTATTTTGTGGAAGCAAAATGGTTCATTGAAGGATATATGCCGCCAGTCTCTGAGTATCTTAGCAATGCATTAGCTACTAGCACTTATTACTTGCTTACGACAACATCCTACTTGGGCATGAAGTCTGCTAACAAGCAAGATTTTGAATGGTTGGCCAAGAACCCTAAAATTCTTGAAGCCAATGTGACCTTATGCCGAGTCATAGATGACATAGCCACCTATGAAGTTGAGAAGGGTAGAGGTCAGATTGCAACTGGAATTGAATGTTATATGAGGGATTATGGGGTATCAACAGAAGTAGCAATGGAAAAATTTCAAGAAATGGCTGAGACAGCATGGAAGGATGTAAATGAAGGAATCCTTCGACCAACTCCCGTGTCTACAAAGATTCTCACACGCATTCTCAATCTTGCTCGCATTATTGATGTCACTTATAAGCATAATCAAGATGGATACACTCATCCCGAAAAAGTATTAAAACCTCATATTATAGCCTTGTTGGTGGACTCCATTGAAATTTAAATCATCAATTATTGTGTACATCTGGGAGCACTTGGTTCCCAACCCCTCAAATTTGTATTTGATTGATGTTTGATGCCTTGTTGGTAACTCTTTACTAGGGTAAGAACTGCTGGCGATAGATGTTGTTATCGTGCAGTGAAGTTACCTCTCTAAATTTTTTTATATCAGTATTGACATATGAAATATATTACTTCTTTTTATATATGCCTACTTGTTTTATGAGGTTTGAGATAAAATCTAAAGCATTTCTGAAAATGGTTTGGTAGACTACACCTCAGCCGTAGCAACAGATCCTGATATAATAAGCCCATGATAAGAAATCAAAACATAAAAGAAAACTTCCCAAATATAATAAACCACTTAAAATTAATACTACGTAAGAATCAACCAAGTAAGACGGCAAAAATTAATATAGCCACAGTACAAGTATTAGTACCACTAATTGAGGTGTACTAGGAGGGGTAATTTGAGCCATATTAGTGAGTCTATTTTATTTATATTTAATTAAATGGATCACTCATTGTTAGCAACAAATTTTTGTAAGCGCTGAAAATTAACTGCAAGCAAAATAAATAAAAGAAAATGTGATTTTTATTGATGAATCGTTGTGAGTACAATTCTGTTGTTCTCTTGATTCTCTCTCCTAAGCTTCTCCAAGATTCGAGGGTCTTCAGTAGCGTACTTTTCGAATTGTTGGATGATGTAAACCTCCTTGAGATGTTGTCGATCTCCGGGAACGTCGAAAAGCGCTTCGCCGTTTCAAGTCGATCTCCGGGAAGAACTCCGTTGATCACTCCTTTGAAGAGCTATGTAGTTGATGTTGCAGCTTTCTCCAATTGCAGAATGCTTGTTGAAAGGTGTTCTTAATGCCTTTAGAATGTCATGTCTATTCCCCTATTTATAGTTGTAGGGAGTGGACAAGGTTGCTTGTGATTGGCCAAAGGCTGTCATTTTGACACTTGGCGGATTGTAATTGGTTCTTGCATTTGACTGGGATTACCACCTCATTTGGACACATGGCGTCACCTTGTTGGTCTTGGATGCCTAGTCACTGTGACACGTGGCGTGGGTTTGAGCTTCAAGGTGAAATGGACCTTGGACTTGAATTTAATAAAAATGGACTTATTTATTTGTAAAGCCCAAATTAATCATTCAACCTAATAAACATGGATTTAATCCAAATTTTATATGAATTAAATCCAATAAAATTTGTGTGTCTATACTCATTTATTTTTAAATAGATAAATATGGACTTCAACCTATTTAAGCTCATATAAATATGAACAAAGTGGATAAAATTAAATATGAGAATTCATATAGATCCATGGATCACCCAATTAAAATAAAAATTCCTAATTGCAGTAAAAAGAAAATGAAAAAAAAAATGAGGGTGGGGCTAGGGTGGAGGTGGGGGTGCGATTTTCTTTTAATGAAAAATTATTATTTAAAAAAAAAAATAATGTCAAAAATATCTTTAGCGACAATTAATTAACGGTAGTAACTTAATTGCCACTAATTATGCATTTTTAGAAGCAATTAACACTCTTTGTATATGTCCATAAAACCTTTAACGACATCGGATTTAATGACAATTAACTAATGTCTGTAAAAACTTTAGCCTTCTTTATTAATGTGTATATTTATCATGCTAAAAATTGTTTTTGTTATAGTGGTGAGGTGGGGTGGTAGGGGTATGAACAAATTTGCTTTAAAGATTTAATATTTTTTGTCTTTAGAAAATTAAAAAATCATTTTATCTAAATCATATTTAATCAAATTCATATTTATCCGTATATTATATGATTGGATGATAGTTCAATCCATTTTGACTCAATCTATATTCAATTAATCCAATCCAATCCACCCGTTTTTCACCCTAAGGTGTAAAGACATAATACTCTCTATTTCTAACTTTTAATTCAGCCCCATTGTACTGCAGATTCAGTTTGTAGTACAGAAAACAAGGTTTGCCCCAAAATTTAAAGCTACTGCTTGATAAAAGCTCATTTAAATTAGTACTGTTCTGTAACGATTACAACTCGTAGCATTATGGGTAAAAATTTATCCGCACCAGATGTTTATATCAGATCAGATTATACTGCCTCTCCCAAATGCATATCGCCACACTTATGTATGGGCACCAGACAGTCCACAACGACAATGGATATGCTTTCTAGTTTCTAGTATCCTCTCTCAAACATGCATGTAGCACTCCGATCCATAGGCGGAGAAAAAAGGGGCAAAAGAGTTCATCTAATAAATCTTTTTCGCTCAAAAAATTACATTATATATATCATGTTTAAATTATTTATTAGGTAGATGTTGAACTCAATTCAACCTGATTCTACTTAAAGAAAGGAGGGGCATAAGTTCTTTTGTTTGTTGTATTTATTTCTTTATATTTTGAATTTACTTAATAAAAAAATATTACACTACTGCATAGTACACTTGAGAACACCCATAAAATATAGTTTTATGAAGTTAAAAAGATCCAGAGGAAGATGTTGTGAGGTCCAGCCTTATATCCCATCTTTTAAGGAAAAAAATCTTTCTTTGAAAATATTTGCAGCAAATTTGACAAACTTTTGTTGAAATTGGCTATCGGCCAATTAATATAAGGTGAAAAAATGGGCAAACTTCATGCCTATAGGCTATAAATAGACATCTACATCAGTTTAAACACGCGAGGGGAAATCAAAAGAGGATTTCTTTATTTTGAAAAATTTTATATCATTTTTCTTTTATTATATTTACGGTAATTTTTTTTGTGTTATTCCTCATTTTCCCAGCAGATGCCACGCACTGTAGGATAAACAGAGGAACCATGGAATATAAAATTAGAATTAAAAACATACAATACAATATATTAGTAGGAGTAGAGGTGACAGAATGAGTAATTGATATGGGTATTCATTGATATGGGTTAAAAATGTTTATTCATAAAAGAAAAAATAATAATTTGGGTACCCAACTCATTTAAAAATAAGTAAAAATGAATAATACTCATATTTATCCATTTAAAAGTGATAGTTAAATGGATAATACGGGTAAAAAATGTTCATTCATAAAAGAAAGAAAAGTGATTAGGGGTGGGTGGTAAAAAATATTTTTTTCTATAAAATTTTAACTTTTTATATATTTTTTGGGATAGAGGGGGGCTGGTAGGGAATGGAGTGGTAAAAAAAAAATTCAAATGTTTCTTTTTAAAAAAAATAATTTTTTTTGGGATGGGGGTAGGGGGTGTGGGGGGGA